CTGATGTGCACACGCGCGAGCATACACGTGCACAAAAGCGCGCACTTTCCACCGTGTAGCCTCACTTTTCAAAAAGCACAAAAGCCCCATTTGTAGGTCATTGATCGGGCCTATAAACGTAAAAAAAAATCTATTGGGTCTATTGGTGTGTGTGAACGCGCACGTGCTATTTGGGCCTCGCTGGGCGCCTTAATTGACTCGTGCGTACCACAGGGACAAATTCATACAGAGGTCTACCAGTTAATTAGAGAAACTTCAACGAAGTCAGGGTTTGTTCACCAGCTAAACACGAACACGTGCTCTTTTCAATTCTTTTCTGCTGAGGAACTGAAGTCTCTAATTTTGCCAAAGAGAGCTCCAAACGTCTTTACACCAACTAAATAATGCATGACTCCGGCGTCGCTTTGATTCGGTTTATGACAAACTCCCAGAAACACGTGCACACACACTCTGTGTTTACATGAAGGGCAACTCCAAAAAAAGGAGCTGATCGGTTGCATCTACACCAAAATAAACACGTTCCTAACGATTTCTGGGAGAAGGATCAGTTTACGCACACAGTCCAGCGGTCGATATTTTGAGGTAAAATGACATGAGTACTTGTTCCACACAAGCCCCAAAATCAGTGTAGAGACAGAAAAGGGATGCGTATTGATGTCAGGCCAGTCTCTGCACGGTCTTCAGCTCAGTGAAGTTTGCTTTCGGCTCTAATTCCTCCTGTTGTTTATCTGACTGTATGTTGAATTTAACCACTCAACATAAACAATAGTAACCAGGGCCAACTTTTCCCGATTCCGTCCTAAAGCTGATATCATTTGACTTCCAGCATCTGGAGGCAATTAGAGAGATTACAAGTTATACATATCTTTTAAAGACCTATCCAGCACAGAGGAAACGCCAGTCCTGAATGTGACTCTTATGTGAATTTGAATGTCTTACAGTTGGTTTGCTATATATATTTTTTCCAGTATAGCAAAAAACAAACTACAAGCCCAGTTTCAATTCCTCTCTCCATTGCTCAGCACAAGATAACATTCAGCGCCAGTGACCTTCTGTACCAAATTACAGTCATTTGCCGATCGTTTTATTTTTCTTTGGAAATCAATGAAAAGATGAAAGCAAAAATGGGGCTTTACCGAGGCTTCGCTCACCTGCGAGCCTGAGCGCACTCATGCGTTGGAACTCAGGCTCCTGCAGCCATTTCCACATGCGGCGGAAGGTCTCTCTGCCGGACTTAAGCTTGGACCAGGGTTTGGGGTTTCGCAGCAAGTCGGACAGGGTCCCTTGGGACCTGCACAGGACCCGCTGGGCAAAGATGGCCTGAGGGATGCTGTAGCGCTTCAGCTCTGTGGTGATCCTCTGCGCCACCTCTTTGGTATTCACCTCCTCCATCTGTCCCCCAGAAACACCACCCCCTCCACCGCCGCCCCCTTGCTGCCCGGGCCCGGAGGCCTGCTCCCGGCTGTTCCCCAGCACTTGGCCGTGGCCCTGCGCGCCAAGGTGGGCGTGCGGATGGTGATGGAGGCCGTTGATTTGTACCATACCAGCTGAGGAGCTCATGTGCTGCTCCGCATGTCTGCTGAGCATGGCCGGATGGTGAGCCTCGAACCCGCTCGGGGTGAGCATCTTCTCACCAGGCATAGCGGCACCAGGATGAGCGTAGGGGGGGATGCCGGCCTGGGACGTGTGTATGCTGGCCAGACCGGAACCGGATAACGGGGAGAGGCTCTGGCCCATGCACGGATCCTTGTGATGATATGCGGGATACAGACTGTTCATAGGCGCCAGACTCCGGTCCTCTCGCATCAGCGTGAAACTGCCGCTAACATTTCCGGGGATCCTCTGGTGCGGGTGCGGGTGAGGATGATGTGGATGGTGGTGGTGATGATGATGGGGAGGAAACTTGTCGGACACGGTGGAGATGGGGGGTAAGGGCTGCAGGGGGGTTAGGGTAGTGTAAGTGCTGCTCGCGCTCATGCCAGGGGGGGCTTCACACATGCTGATGGCTGGATGCAAGTGTCCAGAGTGGCTGGGGTGATAGTCTCCGGTGTCGAGCAGGGTCGCCATGCCCATAGCACGGTGGCTTAAACCCCTAGGGCTCGGACGGGAATGTGGACTGTGGCCACTCAGCAGCTCTCCGTGACCGGACACGGACTCATGGCTCACTCCGTGCAGGTCGCCAATATTCTCCATCGACAGCTGTGCGTTCATGATCCGGGCAGCGCTGTGGACAAACCATCTATCTGACCTACCCCAGTTAGCTGATGTCCAGAAGTCCTCACGTCCAGTAAAAGTTCAAATTTCTTTTGTTGTTGTTTTTTTCTTGCAGTAGCCTCCTTTGCTATTGCCTCTTCTCTGTCCTTACATTCACCTATTTCATTATTCCCCTACCTCGCACGCTGTTTTGCAGAATGAAAACTCCTCTTCCGAATCCCCCTTTGCTTGACAGTTGTTTTTTTTTTTTTTTAATAATTACTCTCTTAATTTTCTGATTCTCTTTATAATTCAAGCCCCCCCACCACCAACCAGCTGTCCTTGCGCTCCGGTCGGGTGCCGCGCCATCTCTCTAGCAGTGTGTCTCCAGCCCCTGTTCCACCGCAGCACAGCTCACTGTCTACACATGCGCAAAGGGGACACCCATCTCCACTCGTATTCTCTCTTTCTGTCTCTCTCTCTTTCAGGCACACGCGTACACACACCGCCCCATTCTCTGACGTCAGGTACCTTATTAAGGAAGGATGGTATGAAAAGCTGCTCACAGCTATTAGAACTATTCAGGACCCTTTAGCTTTTGCTGCAAATGCTAATAATGCTAATAGAGAGAGCTCACATCAAAGCCCTACGAAATCTGCTCATGGATGCTGACTGAGTACACAGCTATATCGTTAATTATCAGCTCTTATTTAGAAAATGTTAAATTCATTAAGGGTGTAACGAGGCTTCACATTCAGTCCTCCTTAAACTATTAACCGCAAATGAAGTAAACTTCCGGGTTCATATGGAGTTGATTTTTAACCGGTGAGTCTGGGATCCAAAACCTCCAAAACTCCCAAACAAAACAACAACGACACTTAATTCCTTTCGACGAAGCAGAAACGGTCGCCACAGAAATCAAAGCAGGATGAGTTAATTGTTCCCTTAAAAGGCTGTCAATAAAGTCACAGCCTGTATATATTCATAAGCATCAAATACATCCATTCTTTTATCATTATTAGTCAGCTGCCCCAACCCGCCCCCACAACCGTGCCAAATATGTGGCAGTTTAACCAAACGAAGACCGTAGTACCTTCTCTTTTGATAGAAAAAGATGAGCAGATGTGTCTATTGTCCAACTATTAGGCTTAACGAACCAAGCCCAGCATGTGTGCATGAGTGTGCATGTGTGAGTGTGTGGGGGCATATTTAATCCTTGTGCTTTAGAACTATTTGAGGATATAGTATGGCCATTAAACGGTGATAATAAAAATACAACACCCACATGTTATTTAGTCAATTAAGAACATTTGTTTTTTATTTGCAGAAACTTCTCAGAAATTTACACACGCATACACACACGTGCGCATCCACGGCAGGTGTGTACAATCCAGTCCCACCGATGGAAATCACGTGCTGACACGTAACATGACTACGTGTCCCTGTGTTGTTGTTGATGTTGTGGTGCACTTTGCATGAGTGTCCAACCCCCTCAAACCTGCAGCCTGACAAGAGCCCGCCCCCGCTTACATTTAAGTTACACGTCAAGGGCCGTTTAGCCTAATAGAGCGGTAGCGCAGGGCGTCCTCAGCCGGCCGAGGTGACAGCTTGCAGCGGTCAGTGTCCTTCTGGACCCCCTGCTGAATGAGGGACATGTCAAAGGTGACGCTTCAAGACTCCCAAAGCCAACATCTGCGGGGGGACAGATTAACCTTTCAGACTTTTCCCTGTTATGGACCTGCTAGGGGCCCCGCATCTGTCAGGGCCCCCACAATAGACCCTGCGCTCGGTTGAACGAGTTAAATAAAAGAAAAGAAAGAAAGAGAGAGAGAGAAGTTAAACTGCCTCTGATGTGAAGTCAATGTCAACGGCGTGTGTGTGACGTGTGTCGAGACAAAAGGACACTAATTCCTCGAAGTGTGGCTGTCCAACCGTGCAGACCTGCGGACATAATAGACTTTGGAGGGAGGAAAATAGAGCTGAGGACAGGAAAACAAAAAACACTAAATAAAATTATGTTAATTTAACAATAGCACCAACTTATTCCACACTGAGGCATCTGGTTTTATTTCAAGCAGAATTTATTCTAATTCATTTTGATCAAAATTTTAAATACAATTTATTCTGTAAACTAAAAACTCAATTTCTCCCAATAAAACTTTTGCTATTTTCGCGTCTGTTTTTATTTTTGATGCGCTCTCCTCGCACAAGCAAACGAGATCCAGCAGGGCTCAGGTTTGGCCTTACTTGGAAGCAAACCTCATCTACACATTCTCATACGGATCGATAGGCTTCTGCCATGTCTGCACGACCTGAGCTGTGTGTTTATGTGTGTTGGCTTTCTGTGGCCATTGTGCCGAGATAGGCCAAACCTTACGAGGCTGTGACATTTGCTTTGCAGAGAATATAAGGGACACGGTTTTCTGAGCACTTCTGAAAGAGGATACATTTCAAGCGGAATTCAATTCAATTAGCACAAAAGAAACAGAAGCAGAGACCAAAGTGTGCCACAGATCCATACATGCGCGGATGAAGAAATACCGGCGAGTTGGAGGGAAAAAATATTATATTGATCAAGTCTTATGAAATACTGTGCGCCAAGGAAAACTTGATCCAGAGAATGGGCACTGAAAGTGCAAAATGTAGGTTTCACACTGATTATTAATCAGGGGCATAATTCCCATGAAGCCCCACAGCAGCATATCCGAGCAGCAACAATATAATGTCTGGCAGAGAGGACGGTGGATCAATATTTCAGCAGCTCTGCAAAATGACACAGCGTTGCAAGCTTTATAGATGCTCAAAATGACAATTACGGCCTGTTTAAGAATAAGCCTTTGCTAAATGGCATCTGGTGGAACTTAACTTTTATAAATGAGCCTACTTGATTTTGAGCAGTATGGTCATTGACCCTTTGCAATACAACGACGCATACATTCGGAAACTGAATCATCCTTTTCAAAATAAATCACTTCGCTTTTGTTTTATAGGTTTGAACCCATGAATTGATTTTACTGCTTCACCTCTAAAATCCCGAGATCCATAAATGGGTCCTCCTCTACTTTTAGATGATTTTTTTTTATTTGAATCGGGAATTTAACAGAGGAAAATATATTAAAGCCTAAATATCTGAAAACATATGAACAGATTTCTCCCTTTTTTAAAATGAAAATGTGCATTGCAGCGTTGATGGCTGTCCTTTAGAGCAAAAAGCACAGGCCTTGAAAACACACCACAGCGCGCCAATCAATACTGAATAAAATTATAATTCCTGGAGGGACTCAGGCTAAGGCCTACGATTTGTTATAATAAACCAACCTAAAAATATACGGATTTTTTTTCTTTGCGTAATTTGTTTGTGGGATTTTAGACAGGCGGTAATTATTTTCTCTTTGAATAATGTGATTATTTAAATGAGCAACCGGGTTATTTAAAAAACAAACAAACAAGAACACAAAACAAAAAACAAACGCCGTCTTATGGAAAATTGAAATAGTACTAAAAGTGTAGAAATTACGTTAGTTTAAGGCAGTAGGCCAGCTTTATTCTGAGGTTGAAAAGAAAAATAATAATTAAAATAAAAACAGGTCACATGAATAACATAATACAGCCTGGTAGGAAATGGTAAACTTAGATGAAATGAAGCTAAAGAGCGATCTAAAGATTTAAAGATCTTTGAAGATCATTTTAAGAAGTTTTTGTTGAAAGTTTTTTCTTTTCTTTCCTCCCCAATAACCAGAATTTTGGAACACACACGCCTTGGGGCTGTGATGTAAAATGGCTTAAAATTTCACCCCAGATTAAGGAATTTACTTTTTATTTCCCCACATAATTATTATAAATGCCATCATGGCCGAGCAGCAGATGCCGGACCTGCTGCCTTGCTCAGGGGTAACTCAACTGCCTCTTGTGTTATTCCGCGTCACTTGCTCTGATTCGTGCACTCATGTGAAATTAACAAGGCATCACTTTACATTAAGGTGCCCATATGCCGCCCAATTACTCCCTGTAACTTTGGTAAGACTCCAATTATGACAACAAAACCGTGTCAACGATAGCCAAACCAGCCCCACTAAATGTGCGCTTCAAATCCAAATGACCTCGTACACAAACAGGCTGTGTGGCTTTTGGAGGCGACAATAACGAGTTTAGGGAAATTGAAAATTTCTTCCAAATTTCTGAAATAAATAAATGTAATAAAAAAAACCTGCTTATTGTCGTGTTTTTGTAGCCACAATCTCTCGGCTTTTCCTTTTAACTATTTTAGTTGATCCTAATTATGGTTTTCTGTACTAATAGCGAACCTGTAAATAGTGTCTTGTATTATTTGCAGTTAACACGTATAAAAGTAGCTCATGAGTAAACAGACTATACAAAGCTGCAGAATACACATTGGCACACTATGTCCTAAATATTTCTATAAACTGCAATTTGAACAAAAATCGAAACTATTGTCTTCATGTAGATGTATCTGCTGATTTAGAACATTTATAATTTGAGGTTTAATAACTAAGGATTTTATTATTATTAATATCTGCAGCACTGCGTCAGATTTGGATAAAATCTATGCATTTTATCCATGCACTAACAACAGGAGTGTGGGTATATTTTTCAATAAGAGATTTGACAGCATGCTGGCCAGCTTAACTATCTTTACAGGTGCATCGTTATCATCGCATCTAAATGATCAATTTCTCTTTAGAAATTCAAATTAATGCGAACTGTGTGTGCAACCAAAAACGTCTGAATTCTGAAATATTTATGCGTGTGTTGGTGGTTACATTGCCTCACGAACTCGTAACTATTGGGACTTATTTTCTGATGTTTTAGATAAAATGAAAATGTGAGAAACGAAGTCGACTCTCAAGCAGTTTCAGTTAATTATGAAGCAAGCCGGTAATATCGGCCACGCAGTGCGGAAATTGTATTATTTTAAGTACAGTTAAACCAACATTTAACTAGGAAAAGACCATTTTAATTGATGCCCTTGTGTAGATACTATAGACTGAAATGTGGCGCAGCTGCTTTAAGTTTGTGCGCATATGCGCCAGAGAAACACTCAGCTTGTGTGCGTCAGATTCGGAAAGCACTTTTTTTCCACATCTCCTCTCAACAGGGTGCCAGTCTTCAAATGTGTGCATTTAAACTCTTCTTCTTTTGCGTCACACATAAACACAGACACGCACACGCACGGCCAACGCACGCACGCACACACACAGACACACACACACACACACACTGTAGTTCCAGACTTTAACGCAGGATCCTTTTCTGTCATGCATCTTTATCATCCTTCCAGCTCACTGCCTTACAGAAACGCACAGAACGACAGAGCCTCAACATCAATTTACATAAGCTCTTTAACTCCAACATGCGAGCTGCAAAAAGCTGAGGATGCGCTGGCATCCTCGCGTCTCCTCCATCTATGTCCTTCCCGTCCCTTACTCTCCCTCAT